CTTCTCTTCTCTGTGATTTATTTACCTTTGAAAAACTCTTGACATGAAAACAAATATTTTTATCTAGTTACTCTATATATCATGTTTCTGTTTCTGGATTTGATGATCTGAAACTGATATATATACATGAGAAATATTAGTATTCCTAACTTGTTATGTATCTTAGTCTCTCTTTAAATCTCGATTAACTTCCAGCTTTCGATCTTCTGCTAAGTTAGAATATATATGCCGGAGAAGATCAAGTATTTGGTAGTTTGAATTCAGTGATAAAAGAAGAAACTTGCAGGGAGATCAAGAGAGAAGAATCGAAGAAGAGATCAGATTAAAGCTGGCAAATAATAGCAAGTGGTGGGAGAGAGCAGATGTGGCGAGTAGAAACATGGCTGGTTTTGAAGGTAATAATTCTCGATACGTTCATGGTCAAAATCACAACAACCTTCTCAGACCTGAACTTCATCTGATTCAAAGACCTTCATCCATTCCTTCCTCTGATTCTAGAGACAACAACAATACCCCATCACCACCAGATCATGCCAACCAAACTGCTCATCATCATGATAGTAGTGCTACCACTAGCTCTGGCGGCGGCACAAATCCGAATCGCCGTCCCAGAGGTCGTCCTGCTGGTTCCAAGAACAAACCGAAGCCACCCATTATTGTAACCCGGGACAGCCCTAATGCCCTCCGATCCCATGTGATTGAGATCTCTAATGGTGCTGATATAGTGGAAAGCGTGTCCACTTATGCGAGGAAAAGAGGAAGAGGAGTTTGTGTTCTTAGTGGAAGTGGGACAGTTGCTAATGTTACTCTAAGGCAACCAGCTTCTCCTGCAGGAAGCGTGCTTACTTTGCACGGAAGGTTTGAGATCCTTTCGCTATCTGGAACGGTGCTTCCGCCACCTGCGCCACCTGGGGCGGGAGGGCTGTCCATATTTTTGTCCGGTGGACAAGGACAAGTTGTTGGAGGGAATGTTGCGGGGCCTTTGATGGCTGCAGGTCCAGTAATTTTGATGGCTGCATCTTTTGCTAATGCAGTTTTTGAGCGTTTGCCTTTGGATGATCAGGAGGAAGCTGGGACGGTGCAGGTTCAGCCCACAGCTTCTCAGTCTTCGGGTGTGACTGGAAGTGGCGGACAGATGGGTGATGGCGGAGGAGGCAGCGGTACTGGAGGAGCTGGTAGTGGTTTTTTTAATATGGCCGGAGGAGCTCATCACGGGAATTATCCATTTTCAGGTGATTTGTTTGGACCATGGGGTGGAAGTGCTGCCAGGCCTCCATTTTAATTAGGGCACCAAGGTTTTTTTCCCAATGAGTGACGAGTTAGAGACATTGTTGTACTATCAGATTTTGGGCGAGACAGTTTCTGATCAGCTTTCAATAAGTGATGATGGAGCATTAATGATCGATCATGAGGGGGGGTATATATATATATACATATAACAATTAAGCTGCTAGCTAGCATATATTTTGTATTAATGTATGAGCATGGTTGTGGTGTGGTGATAAAAAAGATCGAGATTGGTCGTACTAATTTCTTCATTGACAAGTCCATAAAGATAGAAGAAGAAGAAGAAGAATAAGAAGAAGAAGAAGATGTATATTCATGGAGGCTGCCTGGTACTAATAATTACTTTGGAACCCAGATAGGAGCTAGAGCTATGAATTTACAGATTTGTCAAGGTCAGTAAGTTCAACTTCATATGTATAAACCATTTTGGGTTTCTTCTGTGTCTTTTCTTTTTCCTTTTATCAATAATTAATTTGTAGCTATATTTGGAAGTTCTAATATAGTATGTATTTTGATGCTCATCTCTAGCTAGCTAGGGTTTAATATATACATAATTTTATGTCTCTCTCTAATTTTTTAAAATTCTTTTTTTTTCTTTTTATCAATACATGTCTCCATTTCCAGTGCAAGAAATATTATTTATCATGATATGTTTTTGTTTTGATATCTGAATAGAAAAATGCGCCGCTTCAGTTTATATATGAAATATCTGTTCTTCATATCGAAAATAAGTACACTCGTGGGGGTTTTCTTGATGCTATATATATATATATATATAGAGAGAGAGAGAGAGAGAGAGAGAGAGAAAATAGATAATTTCAGAGTAAGTTTTTATTTTTTTAAGACAGGAGATACAAGGAAACATGTTTTGTTTATTTTTTTTTATTTTTTATTTATCGCTGTCCCTGTCTCTATATATTTATTTCGAAACAATAAACAAATGTCAACTTAATAATATCATTCATGCAACCTATATAGTAATGCTTAATTAGAGCATGTGCCTTGTCTTTAGCATTACATTCTTCGTGTGTAGGCAAGGGCACCCCACGATATAGATCCCCCCTGAGCAGCTCAGCTCAATCCCATAGCACTACGTGCTCCCGGTATACACATATTTTTGCCTGTGATCTTGCATGTGGCCATGTCTTCTTCCTTTATTTCATTTCTGCTTGCCCAACTGAGGAAAAGCACAGCGAAGAACTTTAAAAGCCTGTTGCTCTATTTACAGTAAAAAAGAGAGAGAGAAAACCTAGTCCTGAACTTCGAGAACAATTGATATATGCCCTAATTAAGGTGTCTCGCTCTCTCCCTCTTCTTTTTTTACTCTCTTTTCTCTCCATCTCCTGCATGCCCAATTCACACTTCTTTCTTTGACCAAGCGTTACAGCAGTAGCTAGAGAGTTCTCTTGTCAGTTACAATGTATGAAACTAACAAGACTACTGTTACGGTCGTAAAACAAGCCTGTCTACCCCCAAACTTCAGTCTTCTGAGCCATGGAACTCAAGCCTCTAGTTGTCAAGTGCCAACATTAACATACATGAAAAGAAGAAAAACCCACTTGCCAACGAGAGAAGTGTAATATATAATAATAATAATAAAAAAAAAACATGTTGGCACTATGTGTATAGCATGATTCTTAGAAAAACTTAATTGTATCCATCTTAGTTTCATATAATGTTAATCTAGTTCAAAGCCCATCTAGCTAGATTAATAGCTTAATTACAGAAACAATTATGTAGGAATCATAAAATCCCCAACTCCGAATGCCTTCCTTTTCTAGCACTTCATTCATCATTAATATCACTACTACCAATCTTCACAGGCAAAAGAAATTTCCCACACTCATATCCCATGTGCACAAATTTCTTGTTTTTGTTTTGCCTATAATTGGTTTTAACATTCTGGCCTCTGCACATTGACATTGTTGCACGTTTTTTTGGGTAATCATCGATAGATTGATAGTTTTAATGATGACTAAACAACTGATAGTACGTAAAAGAGAAGAACACAGCATTAATATTTGTTATACTTGCTACATGTTTTTTTTGTATATTGACCACACACAAAAACACATTGAAATTGAAGGGAAAAAAGCTTACGGACCAACAATTTGTACATTCAAAGCTGGCTAGTGATGAAATCTTGATTTAAACTTGAATGCCTTGATCAGCACACGGTCCATCACATTTCTCCTCTCCTTCAAATTTTTCAAGTCAATTATATATTTGATAAATTGTCGTGGAATTATGGAGGTCCAGCACTGCTCAATTGTCATAAACTTCATGAATGAGTGAATTGATTGTATGTGTACGAATCCATCAATCAATACAGTTGCTTAGGGTCTTTGAAATAATTAGAGATAGGATTGCTCGTCTGTGCCTATAAATTTGATTTGATTTCAATAAGAGGTTGCCTTTGGCATGTGTAATTGCCAACTCTTTAAGAGTATATCAATCATAGAGTGTGTTTTTCATCCAGCCATGCGTCCTAATGCAACAGCTGAGACACTTTCTTTCATTCTTTGTTGATAAGAGCGCCTAACACCATGATCTTAAATTAAGTGTTAACTAAATAGAAGAAGAAGAGATTAGCAAACAATTAACTTCTTGTTGCAGAATAAAACCGAGCAGTACATATGGCGTCATGTTTCTCACGATGTGATTAATGGTAGGACATGAAGTGTCTTGTGTCCATGTGAGTTCATGTTAGTTACAGAATAGTACTGACACGGCACTATTCAGCTTCTTACTCCCTTTGACACGCACACACATGCAATTTTTGCATGATCTAGCTAGATCTGTATGTTCACCTTATGCATGGTTTCAACATATGTTTCACCCGATATCTTAGAATCAAGAATTTTATGAGTATATGAATTCTATATATCCCTGAAAAATACAGCGAGGAGGCAGGTGAATTACTATAGCATGCATGAAAGCAGCTAGCAGGTCTTAACGTTTCCCACCTTTTCCCCGTATCTTCGTAGAGCCATCCATTCAAGCTATAGTAGTAGGCGACGGAGTGTACGTAGGATAAATTGAAGGCAAAAACAAATGCATGATTGCGGAGAGAGACCAACTCATAATTTCTGCCGGGGCAGTAATTAATATCGATAAATCCGGTGTTCATTTACACACACACACACACACACTGTAGAGATCGGCAAAATTCCACAGAATCTCGGCCAATTAATGTACTAATTACCATCTACAGATGTTACGATGAGGGCTCATATAGAGAGACTAACTCCGGATGATGCATGGTTTTCCCATCCGAGCTAAAGAGCAAATTAGCCTTAATTAGAACATGCCCAGTAATCCAACCACATGATAATAACACACTAGCATTGCAGCCAAGCATGTAAAGGTTCATTAAGCTCAAAGAGGACAAGGTTCATAACAATGGTTCCTTCCATACTTGTGTCAGCTTTCAATTCTGTGGTGAAGCGAAGCCTACCATTAATGAGAAACGCTTCGGAATAAAATTGAAGCTACAAGATTCGGATGACAGAATTAATTTAAGGCGGCGCGAAGGTCAACATTGTGCAAATTATAAATACGAGGATCAGCTGGGCTCCGGCTGTCACTATATTTCTTAACCGTGGCTGTGGTGTGGTCGAGGAAAACATATTTGGTTAGAAAAGTTATTGAAACAGAGATTGTAAATAATATAGAAAATAAAGAAACAAGAAAAGCTTGAATGCAAAAATAAATAAAAATAAAATCAAAATAGAGCCTTTTCAGCCTCTCAAGCTATTAAATATGAGATCCACATGAATTCCACAGTTATTTTTTTTTGGTTAAAATCCCACGACTAATTATTATCAAAAGGGTACTTTCTACTTTCCGTCTAAAGCAGCCATACACGGGTCCAGCCAAAATCCGCAAGATGGCTTCCCTCGTGAACCTCGAGAAACTATTCTGCACGTGATAAACATGCATCTACAGAGATGGGTGCTTAGGACTCTAATTCAACAACGTGGGAGGAACAAAAACGATCTCAGCCATTCCCTCTCGAGCCTCTGTCTCTCCCAAAACTTGGCATTTCTACCTAGAAAAATTGGTGGATCCAGCTCACACGAGGAGGAGGGAGTCAGGCTGATCTGTTCTCAAACGGGACACGAACATGGAGCTGTCCATGCAAGCTAACAACAGCAGATGTCTGAAGTGGATCAATTCTCGAAGGTAAGCTCACAACCTGACCAAAAAAGACATTTCAAACGTTTTTCACGTACATACAAGTTAAATATATCAAAGCAATGGACCATCACCACACTAACATCCTGCCAATAAGACCACACCAATACCATAAACAATGAATTCGGTAAAAAAGAGTTGATTCACATGGTGAATAATCCACCTGCCTGGCAGGGTCGGCGACTAACATGTTCCATGTCGTAAGTTAAAAATAAATGATTCCCATACTCTCGCTAATGACAGTCTTCCGTAGGGCATGAAAGCCATGGTGTATCTATATTGGAATAGGAGTGCCATTTGCTCTTCAGGCAAGGATTATAAAGCAGAAACACCTCTTTTTTCAAAACTACTATTCTGTTAGAGATCATAACAATACCTTCTTAAACGGTGTAATACCCCAAGGATTGTCTAGCTGCTCTGGTTGACCTGTTATAACCAGACGCCCTACAGGATCTGATTGTACTCGGACCTGATCCACCAAAAAATAGCGATTTCATGTATCTTCTAGGGAGAGTGGTCTAACCAAAAATTGATATGTTATGAAGGAACATTTTAAGTTCTGGAAATGATAGAGCACACATCCATGGCACAGAGCATTCTATCAATAATTTCCATCTAAAAGACATCAAGGAGGTAAGAATAAGAGCAGGAAAGACAAACACATGAGAGGGGAGCAAAAGAGATACCATGAGAAGGTGCTTACCTCTTCACGCAGAAGTCCGGGGACTAAAGCATATATCTCATAGCAATCTTTCTGTGTAAAGGTGCAGTATGCTAGTCACTAAACCCAGCAGTGAGAACTTGACAACTAAGGCTCAGGATAACAGAAATTTTAAGAAAGAAAAACAGCAGATGCTTACACTTTCCCACACATTGATCTTCACCCAGTCAGCAGGGGGCCCAATATCAATGATTTCAGTATCCACTCTAAGATGATAAAAAAACAATTAGCCTTGCTTCATAAAAGAGAAAACACCTTATGGTATGTGTGCAGTTAGGCATAAAAGGGGCACCATTTGGACTCTGATGTACAAATTCTATGGAGGATTTTTTTCTTTCTAGTTGTAGCTTGAAGCCAAGAAACTAAGAGGATAGCACAAAATATGCCATGGTTCATTTGTTGAAAGAATAAGATCGACACTAGCTATTATGCTGAACGATGACTTCATAAGAAACAGTTGGATCAACTGATTGCTATTTAATTACTAGTATGAAAGCAGCGGCAAGCAAAACTGAGAAAAATAAATTGAGAGGAAATAAAGAGCAATCTTTACTCCTTATCTGTTTCAGCATTCACAGGTCTCTCATCTGTCTTCTGTTTGTGAAAACCTGACTCAACAAACCAGATCAAATAAAAATGTATAAACCTGCCAATTGGAAAGATCTTCATTCTAGAGATTGTACCGAAACTTTTGAGAGGCTTTTCACGTCTTGAAAAATTCAAGCTCTTCACCTGTCCAAGAGAAATGAAAAGCATCATTTCCCTGCACTGTTCTACAGAAATATATGTGAGATATAGGTATGTCCTGTGTCACAACAAACCTTAACAAATGGCTCACTAACCTCACCATGTCCAAGATGACGCTGAGCATGCCAACCCTGCATAGCACGAGCAGCAGCATCCCTTCTTGTCCTGCCTGATCCAGTTGCTTGGCACCCAGTTGTCTGGTAGAGAGAAAAATGCATTAAAATACAAATTATGAAAGCAGGGATAAAAAGGAACAAGAACCAGGCACTGAATTTAACAACTCTACTAAAGTTTGTTACAAGCAGCTTCAGCTCACACTATTATCAGCATACAGATTCCAATGAAAACATTGTGGCCCACGAGCAGAAGAAAATACAAAATTTATAGTTGCGCTCGCCTCAGGCCTGTAGTTTTCAACTCAACTTGGTTTCCTCATAGTTGTATAAACGGTTTATGCGCACAACAAAGTTAAATCTGGTATGGTTTATCAGCAATTTGTATGACCGACAAGAACTAACAATGATAACTAACCACTTCACAGATGCATCCATATATAGATGCAAGCAGATTTCACATTCAGAAATATGCCAGGATTTATCATCCCCATTTTCATCCGGTGTAACAGACTCTATCATCTTTTGTGCCAGTTATGCAACGTAGATCAATTACATAATGTACATGTATGCAACCAAAAGGATGCGTGGATTTTTATGGACCGGGTAAACTTTAATAGATTTTAATTGTAGAATTCACTTTTCTCTCATTAAGTGCAACTCTATCTTCCATATAACAGAGTGACCATATGTGGTACCAAGAAAAATTCAAAGGACTATTTGATATTAAGCCAGCCAAGAGTTTAAACACTCAAGTTCAAGTTCAGTTCCATAATGCAAACCAACAAGCACAAGCCGAGCTTTTATTCACTTTCACTGATTAGTTCTGTCAAGGCTCTAATAATTCTCTCTTTCCTGAGCGGGTAAAAGATTTTGGAAATACTACAGACAAACAAAAACAGGCAAGAACAGCACTTTACCTCCTTTTCAACACTGGTAGCCTGATGCAGGGGTGGACTGGGAAGTTGGAGCTCGCCAGTTTCCCTCTTATTCTTTTCATATTCCAGAAGTGCCTGTGGTAAATGAGGGATGAGGGATAGAAGTCACAAGAAAGTCACAGAGAGCAATAATCCATTAGTCCACGACCTAGCTTTTAAATCATTTGAATCTTTATGGCATTCAAATGAATGCCATACAAGGACAGCTAAACTCACTTCAAATACAACAAAGATAAGCCTGGACACTTGTCAACACTGACAAATTGTATGATCTGAGTCTATTCTAATGCTTCTATCATTAGATTCCCTGGCCAACACTTCCCATGTTAAAATTAAAGAAAACAAAGTCTTAATTTAGGATTTTATCTAACATATTAAGTTCCAACATCTACATGTAGAGCATTTTCACCACAGAAAAAAGTATTACCTTCTCAAAGAAAATGCGGAATGTCCAAGACACCGTTGTGCAAGTCCTGTGAGAGACAGAAAAAAGCTGAATGAATTAAATGATAAATATTTTCCATATTTTAATAATCCACGTAAATTATTGCTGCCATTCACAGCCCACATCCAAGATGTGAAGAGCAGAAAATAGTTATAGTAAAGTGTCAACTGTCTGCAGCCTAAAAAGCAAATAATGAAAAGAAATGTAACTGAAAATGATTAATAATCCCATGCCAAATACATGCAAATTTTACAAATAACTTAAAAAAATATTTGGCTTAATAATCCTTTGTTAAATCCATGCAAATTCTACAAGATAGCTTACAAGAATTATCCTTCCTTACTTGGGAGGGTGGAAAGATTCTCCCACTTGCCGCCACAACTTGTTTGCAGTAACCTACAGATATGAGATCAAAAGCAGCTGTCATAAGTTAATATCAATAAAAGCCTAAAGATCCATGAAACCTATTATTGACACAAGATTATTAAAATACAACATATAAGCACATCGAAACTGCAATTTCATGCTCAATTTTTTAAATCAGATGCCTGTATTCACAATAAGACTGGAAGAAAACAACACAGGCACGTGACCAAAAAACATTATCCTGCAAGTGGTACAACTCTAGCTACAGGTGCAACATTACATCTCTGAAATCATATACTCCAGATGTTATGATCCTGAAACATATCATGTATCCACATGTTTTACTCCAGAAGATGGAGGGGGATCAGACATTTTTCATTAATACCCTGGTCAAACATAAGTTCAGAATAAGTTTTTCTTTTTTTTCCCAATCTGAAGGGCATAGCCTAAGTACTAAAGCATTTGCTGAAGGGGCAGCAAATCCTCTGAATATTTTTAAGAAAAAGAGACAAATTCTCAAATGGCAACAAAAGGAATATAGTGAAATGAAGGTTTGCTTTTTGAATTTGTTGGGAGTCGTTTGTAATTATTTTACCAGGCGGCTTCGTGAGCACCTTGTAACCAAGCTGCTTTACAAATAGCCTCTTTTGTGACTAGGATAAATAGTTTTCAAGAGTACCTTATAAGGATTTAACCACTAAGCAATTGGGGGTACCTCTTTGCTTCTTTCTCTACAGGGTTTGACTTGATGAAAGTCACTTCGAACCAGAACTTTTGAGGATTTAGTGCTTTGTAAGCTGCGAGGGGTCATAGTAATTGGATCAGTTATGCATCCTCCTATCAGGCATGAGGCCCCAGAATCCTCATCAGTCATTAATACGAGTTGATATACACTTATATCAATTCATTATGTATTAATTTTCTACTTTTAATTAATTTATTTCAAGCACGAACTAGTTTCTAGTAATGGTTTTAGCATTGGTGCAATTTTGATTCCAATCAAAACCAAACCTTCCAGGAATAGTTTTGGTCATCATGAGCATGGATAGTTAACCATTTTCTAAATAAAGCATACACCACAAATTTTCAACAATTTCACAAAAAGGGGAGAAAACTTAAGTTTTTAATAAATATGGGTCATAGCTCTGTACAACTCTTAACAATAATTTCATAATTGATCCCTCGCATTTCATAAAATGCTGACATTTTCTCTGCTTGTGATACTGATTTTCTTTGGATGTGCCAACCTTCTCATTGAATTCCCTTCTCTTTTGGTTAATCTCATCTATCATGATTACTTCTTAATTTTGTTTGATGTAATCGTCGCTTGAATTTTCTGCATTTTCATTATCCTACATTTAACCAGCAAGAAGTGAATACTAACGGAATTTGGTAATGTCAGCTTAATTTGGAGGGGAATTCGGTAATACTTGTAAGCATGTATGATTTTTAAGTTCTAAGGAGGAATAGAAGTGAATTTAATTGATTTAAACTTCCAATCAGAAGGACAAACCAACATGGTTCCAGGCAAGCTGTGAGAAAAGATGTTGTCAACACATGTGAGCATTTTGAAGCACAATGCCATTATGCTTGACAACAGCAGTAGAGCAACCTGATATGTTTTCAAGCAACTACAACTCCTATTCTCAATCCCTTTACTTATTTATAATTCTATCTATCCACTGATATGGGATATTTAAATTTCCCATAGTGTATAGCAAACACTATTGATTTTGTGTAACAGCTTATGTTGCAAGTTATTCCTATTGCTTACACCAATTCCAGAAACCATGCTGCTACATACAACAGCAAAATCCATTCAAGTGCAGACTTCTTTTTTTTTTTGTGGCAGCCAATGCCTAAAACCCACAGAACATGAAAAATGTATAAGGAGGGAAGCAAAAGACACCTACCACTTCATAGCCACCCAGTTTGATCACAGACCTCCATAACCTAACTCCCAAGGAAAAAACGACCATATTAGCTTACACCTAGACTCTAGACACATATCATTGGGAAAAAAAAAACTATTTTCACATAAAACTTACTTCAGGCAGTTTAATGGCTCTCCGTAAAACTTAGGGGGTTTGAAATCCATGATATTCTGCTTATAAAAAATCTCCAGGTCCTTCATGAATGCAGCTTGCTCCTCTAGGGTCCCGGCAACATCAGTCTCCCCCATCTACATTTCAAACACCATATAATCATTCAGCACAAACAATACTTCTACTTACAAGATTCATGATAACAATGAATACTTTAGGTTGCTAAGGATGTTGGGTTCAATTACCTTAATATCAGTCCATACATTTTTGGACTTTGCCGCACTATAAAGCTTTGTTCTAGGAGTTGAGCACCTCCTTTGGGTAGATGGAGTAGCCGTTTGTGGCTGGTTTTGAACACAGGAGCCACCATCTCCATCAGTTTTCTCTTCCACCACTCGCCGATTAATATTTTCATCCGTGGCAGTTTTCCCATCATCAGGCAAAGCTGGAGTGTCAGTCATAGGAACATCAGTTGCCGAACTCACAGTGATGTCATCGTCAGCAACTGATGCCTGCCTATTTTCATTCGGCTCTTGATCCTCCGAAACATCAGCAGTTTCTTCTTGCTCTTTAACAGTGGCATCAGAAGGCTTGTTAGCATCCGAGTCTCCCGGCAAGTCTTGCACGGCAACCATTTCACTATCTTCCATTTCGCTTTTTTGCTTTTTCGTCCAGTTCACACCCTATAGACCAACGACATGCATGAATTATTATTATTATTATTATACGCTAGATTAAATCCAAATAAAATATATGCACAATTCTCTAATAATATAGCATGGCAAAAACCGTTAGCCTCTTGCAAAGTATTTCGCGAGGAGGGGAAAAATTAAGGAAAAAAGAATAATCAATCCCAAAAATCCATTTCTAATTTTCAAGAAAAAGATTTTCAATGTTTAAACCTAACTACGGAACAGTTCAAGATTTAAAATTAAAAAAAGAAAAAACGTGGTAAAAGCTTGCCTTTGGGAGATAACAGAAGCGGGGAGAGGTAAAGCTTGAAAGAGAATAGAGCGAACGGCAGCGTGTTAGGGTTTTGAGTTTGAGCAGAAAGCGAGCAATGCAGGTAAAGAGGAAGGCAGAGAAGGGTGAAATCAAGTCTTTTCCGGCGAACGTAGGAGGTGTCGTATCGTGCCGTCCGTGCCAAACCCAAAGGAACGACGGTTCGATTAGCGAATTCTTTTAGTTTCTCAGAGAAGACAGTTAATTTGCGAGAAGAAAGACAAGGTGGTAACTAGCAGAGCAAATCCATGGCGGTGGGAGTCAGGATTTTCCATTTTTTTTTATTCTATCCCTCTATGCCTTCCTTTCTTGTGTGTGTATATATAAATAAAATCTCCTTTGACTCTATAGAAAATAAATACCAGGCTTAACATGTTTTTTTAATTACGTGGCAGACGCTCATCTACCTTACTTTTCCCTCTCATAAAGACCGGGTTGCCCTTGCACTGCTGCCGTTGTCTTTTCCTTACTTTTTACCCGGTAGATGATAATATTTTTTTTAATTATATAAAATACATGCTAATAATTTTTTTAATTATCATTAGAAATTATATTATAAAAAAATGAATTTTTTATATTAAATTCATAGTGAAAATTAAATTTATGAAGCTGGATAGATATGAAAATTTGTAAAAAAAAACTTTAATCCTTTACATTATTTAAAAACAGTGCTTATATTGAAAAAAAAAACTTATATTGTTCGTATTTTTTTACTTGAGGAAAAATGAAAAACTTGTAAAGAGAAACTATATAAAACTTTCAAAATGTGTTTTTGGAACTCAGTGTAAATCTAAGAACCTGTTTTTTTTTGGAGAAATATTGTTTTAAATTTTCTAACTTGTAAAGAGAAACTATATAAAACTTTTAAAATGTGTTTTTTGAACTCAGTGTAAATCTAAAAACCTGGTTTTTTTTTGGAGAAATATTGTTTTAAAGTTTCCTTTTGAACTCGAATTTCCTATACGATTGAAATGAATAACCCTTGTATTTCTTACCATCGCAGCAAGTTTATGAAGCCATTCACAGTCAATTATAATTTAATTTTAGGTTCAGATTTTAGATCAATGCTCATCAGAATTTATTAAATCTCTTTTAATATATTATATATATATGCTAAGTCGATATGAGGGCGCCCTTAAGATCACATGAGAAGAGATTCGATGATCATGCTCGAGCACGTAATTATAACTAAAATCAAGACCACCGTGAGTGGATATTTTAGGTTTCTTGTTTGTTTGTTTTGCCTTCCTTTGGATTTATAAGTGCGGTGCTGCTTTTGGATTTGCTTATCTTCGCTATTCACTAGTTTACATGCATTTTGCTAAGATAGATATACATGGAAGCTACCATTGATCATGTCTCCAGACAAAATGAACAAAAAAACTCCTCAAAATAAATACTCATGAACATGCAAAAATCCCGATACCATACACTGAGTGCACGCCCACCTAGAGCTGGGCATGTTGCCCAACAACCCTAGTCTTTATTGCTGGGCATGCACCTAACACTAGCGTGATTGTGATAATTAAATTGTATTTCAATCATTACTCTTCATAAAATAATAAAATGATTGATTATTCAACATGTCAATTTTATTTCTAAATACCTTAGATTTTTATACTTGTCAATAATATATTTTATTTTTTCAAAACATATCAACTTTTATTATTAACCTTAGTCTCAGCCACACGTGTTTACAAAATCTCAAGAAAATACATATTCAAAGTCCAGTTAGCATATTTATGAATTAGAGCTTTTGATTTTAATTCGAAATTCAAAAGTTATTTTTTTCTCACATAACTTAACAGAGATTTAAAATAAATTCAAGTTAAAATTTTATTAGATAAATTTGGACTTAAGCTCATCGGGAAAGGAGAAAAAGCAACAAAATCAAAAGCCCACCCCCATAGTATATAATTGTACATCTCTATCCTTCTTTCTGGGCCACGGGTCCATCATCTTCTGCAAATCTTGTTAGCCCAAGCCAATCCAGATAACAAACGTAATGCTCACGCAATCCAATCCAAAGAGCCCGACCCTTTATTATAGAAAATATAAACACAGTAACAGAGAAAGAAATAAGAAAAGAGAGAGATAACGGAACAAAACGGTCGATCCCCATGCTTAAAACAGACATCAAGTGGCAATTAGGGTTTTTGACACAGAGAGAGGGATCCATCTTCATCTTCGAAGACGTTTGAGGTGCCTTGCTTTTCCCTCCCGTAATTTTTTCTTTTATCTCTTTCTTCGTATTCGATTATTGATTGATTTATGCTTTATTATGCAATCCAATTTTGAATCCGGCGGTATGTTAAGGCCGCAATTGAAATCATTTCATGTGCTAGGATTTTTTTCAAAGTTTTCGATTTGATTGTATAAATAAATCAATCACTAATGATGATTCGTTGATTTAACTGTTAAATAAGCACACAAGCAAACAATCATGGAGGATGTGAAACCTAAACCTAGAAAAAATGATTATTTGGCACGGAAGGAGGAGAAAGAGGATTCTAAAAGGATTCATCGAGATAGAGACAGGGAGAGGAATGGAGAGAGGCATAGAGACAGAGAGAAGAGAGAACGCGAAAACAGTAGGTGTTCCGAGAGAGACAAGAGTAGTGATTCTGATGACAAGGAAAGGGAGAAAGAGAAGCACAGAGTCAGAGGCAGGGATGATAGGGCAACAAGGAGGAGGGTTGATGATAGAGAGAGAGTTAAGGACAGGAAGAGAGACAGAGAAGAGAGAGACAGGGAGAGGGACATAGCAAAAGAGGAGAAGAGGGAGAGGGAGAGGGAGAGGGAGAAAGATAGAGAAAGAGAAAGTGGGAAGAGGGAACGTGAGAGGGAGAAAGACAGAGAAAGGGAGAGGAGGGAGCGTGATAGAGAAGAGCGAGAAAGGGAGAGGGGCAGGGAGAAGAGGGAGAGGAGGACTAGGGAAAGGGAGAAGCACAGGGAATTGAGTAGTGACAGTGATGATGACTCCGGGGAGCGTGATAGTAAAGTGCAAAGGAGAGACAATGACGACTCCAAGGAGAGAGTGCATGAGCAGAGCATTAGCAGGTCAAACAGGCACGTGGATAACAGTGAAGAGAGCCTAAGGAAAAAGAGTGGCAAGGAGGACGGTGATAAGAATGAGAGTAAAACCCGAGAAGATGAATTAGAGGAGGAGCAGAAGAAATTGGACGAGGAGATGGAGAAGAGGAGGAGAAGAGTCCAGGAATGGCAAGAACTGAGAAGGAAGAAGGAAGAAACTGAGAGTGAAAAGGGTGGGGAAGAAGCCAATGTTGATGAATCTAAGAGTGGTAAAACCTGGACTCTTGAAGGAGAATCTGATGATGAAGAAGCACCTCCCACTGGCAAATCCGAGATGGACATGGACCAGGAGGAAAACGCAATACCTGATAAAGAAGCTGGAGATGCAATGATGGTGGACACTGAGGATGACATTTCTGCTCCACAAAGTGAGGTTGATGCTGTTAATGTGGATGAGGAAATTGATCCATTGGATGCTTTCATGAATTCTATGGTCTTACCTGAGGTTGAGATGCTAAACAATGTTGTGGTTACTCAAATTGCTGATGATAATAAAGCAGACTCAAAGAAGAAAGATAAGAAGGATGAAGGAATAAATGGAGGACAGCGGAAGAAAGGCTCACATAAATCTCTAGGGAGAATTATTCCTGGAGAAGATTCTGATTCAGACCATGGGGACCTTGAAAATAGTGAAGTTCTTTTAGAAGATGAGGATGATGACGAGTTCATGAAGAGGGTGAAGAAAACAAAAGCTGAGAAACTGTCCCTTGTTGACCACTCAAAGATTGATTACAGTCCTTTCCGCAAGAATTTCTATATTGAAGTGAAGGAGATCTTGAGGATGATTCCTGAGGAGGTTACTGCTTATAGGAAACTACTGGAGTTGAAAATACATGGAAAGGATGTGCCGAAACCAATTAAAACTTGGCACCAGACAGGACTCACAAGTAAAATTTTGGAGACAATAAAGAAACTTAATTATGAGAAACCGATGACAATTCAAGCTCAGGCACTGCCTATAATTATGAGTGGACGGGACTGCATAGGCATTGCAAAAACTGGTTCTGGTAAAACCCTTGCATTTGTGCTGCCAATGCTGAGGCATATCAAGGACCAGCCTCCTGTTGAAGCTGGAGAAGGACCAATTGGGCTTATAATGGCGCCCACAAGGGAGCTTGTGCAGCAGATCCACAGTGATATTAGGAAGTTCACTAAGGCCCTAGGTATAAGATGTGTGCCTGTTTATGGAGGTTCTGGTGTTGCCCAGCAAATTAGTGAATTGAAACGGGGGACAGAGATAGTTGTCTGTACTCCAGGCAGGATGATTGACATTCTTTGCACTAGTGGAGGGAAAATCACTAATCTTCGTAGAGTTACATATCTGGTTATGGATGAAGCCGATCGGATGTTTGACATGGGATTCGAACCTCAAATCACTAGAATTGTCCAAAATATTCGACCAGATCATCAAACTGTGCTCTTTTCTGCCACTTTCCCTCGGCAGGTTGAAACTTTGGCTCGTAAAGTACTGAACAAACCTGTGGAAATACAGGTAGGTGGGAGGAGTGTGGTGAATAAGGACATCAATCAGCTGGTTGAGGTAAGACCAGAAGGTCAAAGGTGGTTTAGGTTGTTAGAACTACTTGGTGTATGGAGCGAGAAGGGAAAAATTTTGGTATTTGTCCAATCACAGGACAAATGTGATGCGTTGTTTAGGGACTTGCTGAAGTTTGGTCATCCTTGCCTCTCACTTCATGGGGGTAAGGATCAGACGGACCGTGAATCCACCATTTCGGATTTTAAGAGCAACGTCTGCAATTTGTTGATTGCAACAAGTGTTGCAGCCAGAGGTTTAGACGTGAAGGATCTAGAATTGGTGATCAATTATGATGTTCCAAACCACTATGAGGATTATGTTCACCGTGTTGGTCGGACTGGCCGAGCTGGTCGCAAAGGCTGTGCCATCACTTTTTTCTCTGAGGATGATGCAAGATATGCACCGGATCTTGTAAAAGCATTAGAACTCTCTGAGCAAGTTGTTCCACAAGACTTGAAAGCCCTTGCTGATGGTTTCTTGGTGAAAGTGAACCAGGGTCTGGAGCAAGCCCATGGAACTGGTTATGGTGGAAGTGGTTTTAAATTCAATGAAGAGGAGGATGAAAAGAGAATGGCGGCAAAGAAAGCACAGGCAAAAGAATATGGCTATGAGGATGAGAAGTCTGATTCAGAAGATGAAGATGAAGTTGTTCGGAAGGCAGGTGGTGACATCTCACAGCAGACTGCCC